ATCATCATATAATTGGTCGACACACAGAAATTTAAATAAACAAAATTAACAAGAATAAAAGCAAATCCTACATAGAGTTGGAGAACGGGAAATGAAATTCCCAAATTAAATTGAGAAACACAATCACAATAATTCATACTATCAAAATGAATTGAACCCTGGTCGCCGTATTCTACCACTAAACCATCGACGCATTATGACATACTCTTACCAACGTGATTTAAAATTATCAAAAATAATATTTGATAAAAAAAATAGACGATGGCGACCTGTAAAAACATTTGGCTACAAGCAGCAGAGGCTATAAAACAAGGAGACCTGTCAATCTTACAAAGTCTCGACCTTGTATCTGTCATTAACAATAATTATGATGAAGCAACGTTACTATCAATAGCTTGTGGTCAAAACAAATGTTGTCCTGAAATTATCCAATTATTATTGGCAGTTCCGACCATTGATTTGAACAAAAATGTAAGCATGTTATTGTAATAAGCGAATAATATTTAAATAGTCACCGCTGGCAATAGCTTGTTTCAAAGGTAACAAAGAAGCTGTAAAGCTGCTATTGGATCAATCATTAATTGATATTCACAGGAGGGTACGTTCAATTAATTTACAGAAATACTCATTTCAATGATAGAACGAAGAAGAAAGAACACCACTTCAGATAGCAAAATCAGAGAAAAACATTGAAATTATTAAGTTATTACTTGGTAAAATATTTATTGATGACCTTAAAGATATCGACAAGTATACCACATCCAATGATGGTGAAATGATATTAATAGGATCAGAAAACGATCCTTCCATTTCGAAAAGTATATCTGAATATTTGAAGAATCGATCATTGGTTTATGGAAATGATCAGTATAATACTTTTTCAAAAGAGGATATTCCATTGAAAGAAACATTCAATTCGTTAGAAGATTACATTCTTAGCCATTTGATTTCAAATTCTGTTGCTCCAAAATATCAATATAAACCGAGAGTAACACCTGTACTAGACGATCCAGTTATTGACAGATCAGAGAGAACACTTTTTACCAGAAGTGGCGGTAATGGAGTAGTTTCAAAGGTTTCACTAAATGGAAAACCAGTTGCTGAGAAGCTTTCAACTGCTTTCATAGATTTAGAGCTCTACAAAAAAATCAGTGAACATCCTGGTATAGTTGAAATATTACATCATTATGAATCTGAGGATGGCATA